GCCAGCCCCTGCAGCTACATGAATCAGGAGAAGCCTCTATCCTGATCCACAGACTTGGGACATTCCAGCCTCTACAATCGCATGAGCCATTTCCTTGATATAAATCTCTTTGTATATTTATATCCTTTCTCTCTTTATATATTATATGCTTTCTCTCTCTTTATATATTTATATGCTTTAGTGGTTTTGCTTCTCTACAGAACCCAGCCTAAGACATCTTCTAATGTATTACATAATTTGCTTATTATGTTTATTTCATTATCTGTCTCCATCCACTAAGGTTACTCTGCAAGGGATCTTTTTTTTAAAAAATAGTATCTTATTGTGTTTTTGGTGAAAGTTTACACAGCAAATTAGGTTCCCATTTGACAATGTATATATAAATTGTTCAGTGACACTAGCTACATTTTTCACAATATGTCAACATTCTCTTTAATTGCATTCTGGTTGTTCTGTTTCCAGTGCTCTAGTTTCCCTGCCCCCTCATTTTCTCATCTTTGCTGTGGAGTAACTGTTGACTTTTTGGTCTCATATATTTTTTTAATGGAGAACCATACTCACAGTAAAATCCTTTAGATTGTCCCAAACTGTTATTTCGCTAAAAGGTGGCCTCAGGGAATAGTTTTGGTTCAAGGTTTAAAGAGTATCTCAGGGTATTAGTCTCAGGGTGTCCTCTAGTCTCAACTGGTCCAGTAAGTCTGGACTTTTTAAGAATTCTGTTCCACGTTTCTCTCCTGTTCTATCAGGGTCCATCTATTGTGACCCTGATCAGAATGGTTGGTAGTGGTAGCCAGGCACCATCTAGTTCTTTTGGTCTCAGTGTAGTTGAGGCCATGGCTCCTGTAGGCTATTAGCCCTAAAAACTAGTTTCTTCACTGAGATTTTAGTTTCCCATTTTCTCTTTTGCTTCTAACAAATGGAGACCAACAGCTGTATCTTAGATGGCTGCTTATAAACTTTTAAGACCCCAGACACTACTCACCTCATTAGGATGCAGAACATGAACTTTGTGAACTGTATTATGCTGACTGACTGAGACGTCCCATGAGACTAAGGTCCTAAGCCTTCAAACCCAGAAAACCAGGGGTAGGGATTTTTATATTGTTCACTGTTGTACTCCAAGTTTCTTGAACAGCGCCTGACACACATATGTGCTAATTATTTGTTGAATGAATAAATGCTAGCTATTATTATATTATGACCATTATTATCCCAAGCCTTCTTAGCCACCAAATAACCTTTTCATTCCATGTAATACAGCTTTCTGTATTGACCTTCAGAAATGCTTTTAGCATGTGATAGCATGGCAGTACAGTAAAAGCAGACTCTGAAACCAGACAGCCTGGATCTGAATCCTGGCTGTGTTACTCACGAGTTCTAAGACTTGGAGCAAGTTAGTTAGTCTTTCTGTGCCTCCATTTCCATGAGGTTAATAGGAGGATAAAATTAATGAATACATGTAAAATGCTTAGAACCTATAAGAGCACTAGACAATTGCTATATATAATTACTGCTACCATGTGATTTTATATATATCTATATATATGTTTTTATGTTAACGTGTAATCCATACTGCAGGTTGTATGTAGTCTTTGATCTTCATCAGTAAGCGCTTCAAGTCCTCATTTTCAGCAAGCAAGTTAGTGTCATCTGCATATCACAGGTTATTAATGAGTCTTCCATCAATCCCGATGCCACGTTCTTCTTCATATAGTCCAGTTTCACGGTTTATTTGTTCAGCATATAGACTGGATAACTATAGTGAAAGGATACAACCTTGACGCACACCTTTCCTGATTTTAAACCGTGAAGTGTCCCCTTGTTTTGTTCAAACGACTGCCTCTTCGTCTATGTACAGGTTCCACATGAGCACAATTAAGTGTTCTGGAATTAACAGCCTGCGATATGCAGATGACACAACCTTGCTTGCTGAAAGCAGAGAGGACTTGAAGCACTTACTGATGAAGATCAAAGCCTTCAGTAAGGATTACATCTCAACATAAAGAAAACAAAAATTCTCACAATTAGCCCACCAAGCAACATCATGATAAACGGAAAGAAGACTGAAGCTGTCAAGGATTTCACTTTGCTTGGATCCAAAATCAACACCCATGGAAGCAACAGTCAAGAAATCAAGTGACATATTGCATTGGGCAAATCTGCTGCAAAAGACCTCTTTAAAGTGTTGAAAAGCAAAGATGTCACCTTGAAGACTAAGGTACACCTGATCCAAGCCACTGAATGTTCAATCGCCTCATATGCATGTGAAAGCTGGACAATAAATAAGGAAGACTGAAGAACTGATTCGTTTCAGTTACGGTGTTGGCCAAGAATACTGAATATACCATGGACTGCCAGAAAAATGAACAAATCTGTCCTGGAAGAAGTATAGCCAGAATGTTCCTTAGAAGCATGGACAGTAAAACTTCATCTCATGTACTTTGGACATGTTATCAGGAGGGACCAGTCCCTGGAGAAAGAAATCATACTTGGTAAAGTAGAGGGTCATCGAAAAAGAGGATGACCCTTGACGAGATGGACTGACCCAGTGGCTTGAACAACGGTTCAAACATAGCAATGACTGTGACGATGGCGCAGGACCAGGCAGTGTTTCATTCTGTTGTGCATGGGGTCGCTATGAGTTGGAACTGACTTGACCGCATCTAACAAAAACACATTCTTTAATTCTTCTTTTGTAAAATGCAGGTGAACAACCAAACTCATAAGTCTTCATTACTAATCATATTTAAATATATCAGTTCTCCTTTTCTTGCCAGAACACGTAAGTTCAGTAGAACAGAGGTTTCTAAACTTGGATGAAGTATCAGCAGGAAATGCATTTACTTGCAAAGAACAGGATTTCTGATCATCAGTAGCTAATGCAATTAGACGTTTAATTACCTCACAAAAATTTTAGAGGTGGGTGGGCCCAGGGTTCATTAGTTCAGCAGCTTAAAAACATCACACTCTGGATCACTGTCTCTGCAGTGCATTCGGTTTCCCCATCATGGCTGTGAGGTCTAGACATCATGTCTTCTCACAACCATATTCAGGCAAGAGTCGGGAGAAAAGTGCTTTCTTTTTATCAGTGAGGTAAATCTTCGCCAGCATGTCTCAAATTCCCCTCACAAGGCCACTCTAGTCGCAAGACAGGCTGTGACAGACAGAACCTGGCAAATAGAAAGAAGGGGTGGGCCAGGTTTGGAAATCCTGTAGTAAAGCACTGTGATGTTTCAGAATATGAAATACAGTCTTGATATTCTTTCAAATATCAAGGTGTGATAAACTGATTCATTACATTAAAACAAAACAAGGCCTTCCACCTCATTCCTACATGCTAAGTTCCAACAAAAAACAGTTTTTAGGTTGTTGTTGTTGTGTGCCGCTGAGTTGATTCCAACTCACAGTGACCCTACAGGACAGAGCAGAACTGCCCCATAGGGTTTCAAAGGAGTGGCTGGTGGATTCAAACTGCCAACCTTTTGGTTAGTAGCCTGAGCTGTTTTTAGGTTAGAAAGGATAATTCCTAAAGAAATGCATATTAACTAAATATAAGAATTGAATTTCAGTCTGCTTAATAAATCAAAAAACATCCTCTCCTAGCACTAAAGAACTAAATGCAGCTGTTAGTATGTGTCACTAGGTGATGCTCTTTGTTAAATTTCTCTCCCAGTAATCTGAGGAATTACAACTCATTCAGATAGGAAAGAACTTAAAATGCTAGGTCTAATTATAATCTAATTGGCACTTTAAAGACAAAAGTTGCATAGTCTAGAAAATCAATTTATATATAAAAAGGCAAGCCACATAAATTTATGGGAGGGAAATGTTCTGGAAGACTGTAAGTTTAGAATGTTGAGACTTCCAAGTATGGAGCATGGTATCTCTCCCCACTTACTTTTGTTTCCATTTTCTTTAATGTCTTAAAAAGCTTATATATTTTGTCACTAGAGTTCTTGAGTATTTTTGTTAATTTATTCCTAGCTACTTTATGTTTTTTTATGCCACTGAAATATCTTGGTCTAGACTTTTTTTACGATGAAATATTTTGAAGTACTTTGACACTACTTCTCTAAATACTTCAGTATGCATTTCTAAAATAACATTATCCTTCACAAAAATGATTCCTTAATATCATCTATTACCCAGTCTATATTTAAATTTCCTTAATCGTTCCCATTATTTCAACAAACTCAAAAACCAAATAGTCAAAAAATATAAAAAGGGGCTCAAGCTTATCAGAAATCAGGGAAGTGCAAATTAATAAGACAAAGAGATACTATTACACAAATATCAAATTAGGAGAAATTTAGAAGTCTGATACTAAATGTTGGCAAGGACGTGGAGCAACTGGAACTTATTTGTGGGAAGAGGGCCCTGGAAAAAGTTTGGCATTACATAATAAAGCTGAAGATGCATCTACCTTATGCCCCGTACTACTCCTAGAGCTATATCTAACAGAAATGCACACGAGTGCCAGGAGATATGTATAAAAATGCTGATGGCAGTGATCGCTTATAATAGGAAAAATCTGATGTCTCAAATATCTCTCAACATTAGAAAGAAAAATTAAATTGTGGTGTATTCACACAACGGAATACTACACAGTAATGTAAAATAAACAAATTACAGCTCTTACAACAATGCAAATCAATCTTACAGATTTTATAATGATGAAAAAATAGAAGAGATACAAAAGGACATGTATAGTATGTCTGTTCATGTAAAGTTCAAAAGTAATGCCTGCCACTTACTTTCAAATGATTCAGCCAATCAGATGTATATACGTATTTATTTATGGAGCCCCTGGGTGGTGCAGTTAAGTTCTCAACTGCTAACTGAAAGGTTGTCGGTTTGAATCCACCCAGAGGTGCCTAGGAAGAAAGACCTGGCAATCAACTTCTGAAAGATCAGTCATTGAAAACTCTATGGAGCACAGTTCTATTATAACACACACACAAGCATTTTGAGTCGGAAATGACTCCATGGTGACAGTTTTTTGGGTTTGGTTTTTTATTTATCCATAGAGAGATAAAGGTCCCTAAGTGGTGCAGTTTGCGCTCAGCTACTAAATGAAAGGTTGGTGGTTTGAATCCACCCTGCAGCACCACGAAAGAAAGTCCATAAGATTAAAGCCATTGAAAACCCTATGGAGCAGTGTTACTCTGTAACATACGAGGTCACCATGAGTTGGGGGCCAACTTAAGGGCAGCTAACAACAATAACAACATAAAGAAAATGTGGCAAAATGTTAACATTTGGGAATCTAGGCCAAGGGTATACAAATGTGCATGGTACTATTTTTGCTACTTTTCTGTACGTTTGAGATTTTTCCAAATAAAACATAGGGAAAAAGTTAAAAAAGGCAGATGAAGATAATCTACATTGTCAGGAATACACACATGAGTAGTAAAACTATAAAGGAAAATAATTATCAAAATTCAGGATAGTGTCAACTCTGGAAAGAAGGATGGACTTGTGATGAGGGAAGGCCACATAAGGGGTTTCTGGTGCTGACAATTTCTTCTGGGTGACAGATGTATGAACTTTCCCTTATAATTGTTAAACTGTACTTACATAGTTTTGCATTTTTTCCTGTATGTATATTTCACAAGAGAAAAAAAGGTAAAATGTGTTAAGGTATGCAAAAATACTTTAAAAAAAAAACTGTTATAAACTCATTAACTATTATTATAAAAAAGTAACAAAGTGTTTTTGCTTTATAGAGAGCAAATGTTAAGTAAGGGGCTTTTGCTATGTGGACTATTTACTTGAGATCAATCGATAAAAGGTAATTACTGAGGGCCAATTTTTGAGGCTAGCAACATAAGAAGTCTTATATTTACATGAGGTAGTCCTTACGTAACCATCAATTCTGAATCATTTTTAGTTTGACATTAGGTAACAGTCTTCTAAATAATTTCCACACACTGTAATTTAATATCTCAATACTCACTTTGGCAAATATTCTAGCATATGCTAATTAAAAATGTATTATAAGAAAATTGGATGAAAGCTTTATAATTACTCAAATTTTATCACACACAGTTTATGCTGTCCGTGTATAAATGCTGCCTATTTTCTATAGGTTTTCCAGTTTCACAGTAGTTTTTGCAAAGCCTTCAAAGTCAACAGTTGCTCAGAACTTCATGTTCTCAGACTGACACTTAATGTACTTATATTAGTTCACTTGATTGTCTTCTTCGGTGCCATCTAAATCAATATCAAAATCTAAACCACCATCACTTTCGTCTTCATTCCTTATGCAGCTGCTGCTTCTACAGTTTGAACCTCGATTATTTTCAATATTGTCTGTCTTTTCTGGTTCTTTAATAAACCTAATGATGGAAGAAAAAAAAAACTTTTTATTTCTCAGGCTTTCATTTAACAGTGAAGCTTAAAAAGACCCTGAATGCTACATTTCTTGATTAACAGGAGAATAATGAAATACGGGGGCCCTGGTGATGTAGTGGTTAAGCATTTGGCTGCTAACCAAAAGGTCGGCAGTTTGAATCCAGCAGCCGCTCCTTAGAAGCCCCACGGGGGCAGTTCTACTCTGTCCTATAGGGTTGCTATGAATCAGAATCAACTTGACAGCAACGAGTTTGGTGTTTCTTTTTTTTTTTTGCTTAATGAAATAAGCATACAGGAAAAGATCCTTGAAGACTAACTTTAATTCAAGATCCAACCAATTATAATACTGTTGACAATGAAGTAGGCTCAGAGAAATTAATTACATGATGTCCATAAAAGAAAAAAGAGTAATTCTTTTGTAATGAATGTGAATCTCATAGTAAAGATCACTCTTTTTTTTCCTAAAAATATAAAATTTCATTTTTATTATAACGACAGAAAAATTCAACAACTATTTTTTGGCCAGGTAGAAAAAAAATCTACATTAGCATGATATACTAGAACTTAAAACTCTAAGAGTTACTGAACGTTTCAGTAAAAGAACATTCATGTGACAATTACTAAAAAAAAATTCCAAACATAAAAGTTAATACTTACGGAATAACAATGTCTTCTTTCTTTCCACATTTAGCACAAACTTCAAGTTCACAAGCACAAGGTCTACACATTATGTGATAAGAATCCTTCACTGTCTTTTGTAAACATTTAACACTAAAAGAGGAAAAGAAAATCAAATATGAAATTTTTTACTAATTACTTAAGATTTATTGGATGAAATAAGGGGTGTCATCATAAAAATTTTCATTGTAAAATTTTTTGTTAAATTATTTTGGTGTTTGCTTTGGCTTTCTAAAAAGCTTTACCTAAATTACTCTGGCATAAAAATAGATTTTAGAAAATTATATCATTAGAACACACATGGATGAAGTTCTAAATAATCTTACTGGATTAGGAAAATAGTCACAATGCTTTTTGGCTTCAGTTTAAAACGTTTTAAAATAATATTAAAGAATGAGTCTGTAGTTAGGTTCATCTGAGGCTTCAAGAAAATTACAGTGTTTTCATTTTTATGAAGATTTTGTTTCACACTAGGGATCCCTGGGCTAAACCAATCTCTAAGTATTCAAACTGCTAATTCAAGAATAAAATTGTATTTACGGACTGTTTGTGTTAAAATTTGCATGTAAAGTATGTTTAAAAATGGGATACCAAGTATGAAGTCTGAAGTCAAAAGATTCTAGATTCTACATTCTCTATCCATCTAATCCCAAGAACAAAAACAACCGAAATAAACTCGATGCCGTCAAGTCGGGTCCAGCTCATAGCGACCGTATAGGAAAGAGCAGAACTGCCCCATATGGTTTCCAAGGAGTGGCTGGTGGATTTGAACTGCTGATCTTTAGGTTAGCAGCCAAGCTCTTAACCACTGCGCCACCAGGCCCTAGTCCCAAGAACAGTGACTCTTAAAGAGTAATCATCAAATACTTGCATAGCTTATTAAAATGCAGATTCCTGGGTTCCATCCAAGATTTATATAATCAGAGTCTCTGGGGATGAGTCCCAAGAATCTGTATGTTAAATGAGCTCAAGTAATTCTCATGTACACTACCATGAGAGCCCTTCACCTAGATCAAAGGAATCCTGCCTTGATATTCAAGTGGGGCTTTTCCAGTGTTCCTATTTCTAGTTGAGACTATGATGGTCAATTAACAGAATGGAATGAATTCTAGTGCTGAAAGCAAATTAGGCTCTTTCAAACTCAAGCGCACTCTGAAAATCAGTCAGGTTTTGCTAGGCTAGTAGCTCTCTGAACACAAATAACACCTATCTTATAGCAACACAAGGGTATGTATGTATATGTATGTATATACATATTTAGAATGTTATTTTTTCCTTTTCATAAATGTGAAATAATTACAAAAAATTTCAGAAGTTAATAGGCTTCCAGTTTCTCTGTCACAAAAGTAGACCACAGTGTGCCTTCTCTTTCAAAACTCTTATCCAGGTTTTACGTCCTCATGGGGAGTACAGTGAGGGAAGGTAATAGTTTCTGCATTTTTTTTTTTACCTCAATACTACGTTTGCCTATCCAAAGAATCTTGATCTTAAGCACAGAATGGTTTAGATATTATTTTAATCATAAGAGATATTCATTCCAAGCTGTCATAGAAGCTGGAAGAGGCAAGAAAGGATGTTCCCCTAGAGCCCACAGAGAGAGTGCACAGTCCTGTGACAGCCCTGAATTCAAACATCTAGCCTCCAGAACTGTGAGAAAATAAATCTCTGTTCTTTAAAGCCACTGGGATATTCTGTTATGGCAAATGAGGAAACTAAGACAGAGTATATGAAACTAGGATGGTTCAGTGAAAAATACAAAAGTAAAGAAAAGGCAATGAAAATCTAATACATGTTCACTGCATATTTAAGAATGAAAATCAAGGGCAGAATTTGGAGTTTTCAATGGACCACTGTAAGCACTAGAAGATATTATTTTGAAAATAAAGGAGTAGGGAAAGAACATTGATTTGGGAAACCAGAGGTCTAGATCCTTGTCCAGCTTTGACATGTCCTTTGCCATATAATCTTGTGAAAGTCACCTTAGCTTCTCTGAGTCTCATTGTTTACAGTGGTGAGTAAGGGTGTTGGCACTTTAGCATGAACAAAGACAGTGGCACCAAAGCCTACTAGCAATCACTGTATTCTCCACCTCCACAAACTCATAAAAACCAAAACCGAAAAACTGACAGACTTTTTGATGACATCTTTAGTGATATTAACACATGATTTTTTATATCGTATAATAAAATACATCAATATTTAGAAGGTCTGATTAAGTCAGTAAACCAGTATTTTCCAAATGACCCCTGCATGATGTTACAAAATCGTATGTGGGTTAAAAGCATCCATTCAAAGTGCAAGACAGACTAATGGATTTTAGTGTAACAATGTACACAGAGTTTATTAATGTACTTTCAGATTCCACATAGCAACTAACCTTAAAGAAATTATCATTTGTTGAAATGTGGTTTAGTATCAAAGGCAAATATTGACAATCATCTGCAAAGGCTATTAAAATTTACTCTCTTCTAAGGACATTTTTGTGAAGCTAGATTTTTCTCAAACATTTCAATTTAGAATTTAGAGGCAGATTTGAAATCTAGCTGACTTCTAATAAGCCAGACATTAGATTTGTAAAATGTAAAACAATGCCTCTCTACTCAGGATGTTTTTTCCAAAAAGTTATTTTTCATTAAAAATGTTATTAACACTTAATGAGTATATTCGTATATTTACTATTATTTTCAACATTTCTCAGTTTTTGTATCTATTACAGTAAATATCAATAGATACAATCTAGGTAAGTACACACAAACGAAGCTCTTTGGGATACTCAATAATTTGTAAGAGTATAAAGAGGTTCTCAGGACAAAAAGTTTGAGAACAGCCAATCTAGACGATAAATACAAAGGTGAAAAAAACTGTATCTTCTGTTTCTAGTACTTGCCAGAAATCAAAGGCTTTATTTTGCTCTATTACGGCTTTCCTGGCACCGTCTTTGTCTCCTGATTATGTTATTACACGTTAACCTTTACCATAATTCAGCTTCCCATGTAGTACTCTCATGTATGTGATGACTAGGTGCTTTGGTAAACAGTGAGCTCTGGTGCTCCACCCTTGAGGTACAAAAAACAGAAACAACACTGACAGAGTCCCTAAAGTCACATTTCCTGCAGTGGCTCTAAATAACCTGTGCTCAGCATGAGAAGATTCTGAACCACACCATGAAATTGTAACATACACTACCTAGAAAATGCTTTTAAAGGAACAATATCCCCAAATTTCAAGAACTGTGAGTACAAGAGGTTAAATTTCACTTCCCTACATCCTAAGAGTATGTGTTTGAAAGGAAGTGGAGGGGTTGTACTATCTTATTGCGGTAATTCTGATTAGAATAATTCTTAAGAGTACAAAATACTAATCTATCACCAAGAGTAGTTTAGAAAAAAGGAGAGAATGGAATTTTAAATCAGAGCTTGCTGTGTTAATCAACATTAATGTCAAAAAGTAGGTTTCATGCACAGGGGAACAAATGGTGGAGGTAATGAAAAATCTCCCCTTTTACCTTCCAAAATATTAAGACCCAGATTCCGGGCAAGAATACAGCCAGGGTTTATAGTCTCCATACACTACATTATGGTGTAATGAGCGACCTGTGACCAAAACTCCACTCTACATCGTTTTAATCCTAGAATACGATGACCCAATTCTCTTATTACTGATCAACCTTCATGGCCTCAATCTATTATAAAAACTGCTAGAACTAAGACAACATACCATTCCTAGTTCTTATTCATGAAGTCATGCTGCATTATCGGGGGAAAAGGTATCCAGTTACAGGGCTTTTCCTCAGCTACTTATGGTATACTTTTACCACGTTTATAGAGAACAGGGGCAGGAAGGGTAAAGAAAAGAAACTGTTGAACCATAGTTGAACCTTTTACCAGTTTTTACATTCTGCTTGGATTCTGGCAAATAGCATACACTGTTCAACTATGGTCATCCCAGTCACCTCTGCCATCACAAACTACATAAATAAACTACATAAAGGTATACACTGGCAGGGGGGGTAGGCTGATGTCCTATTTTACTATAACAGAAATATCACAAGTGGATGGCTTTGACAAACAGAAATATATCCTCTCACAGTTTAGAAGGCTAGAAGTCCAAATTCAGGATGCCAGCTCTAGGGGAAGGCTTTCTGTCAGCTTGCTCTAGGGGAAGGCTTTCTCTGTCAGCTCTCGGGGAAGGCTTTCTCTCTCTGTCAGCTCTCGGGGAAGGTCCTTGTCATCAATCTTTCTCTGGTTTAGGAGCGTCTCAGTACAGGGACCCCGAGTCGAAAGGATATGCCATTCTCCTGACTCTTGTTTCTTGGTGGTATGAGGTCCCCATGTCTCTCTGCTTGCTTCTCTCTTTTATTATCTCAAAAGAGATTGACTTAAGGCACAACCTGATCTTGTAGAGTGAGTCCCGTCTTATTAACTGCTGCTAATCACACCTCATTAACATCACAGAGGTAGGATTTACAACACATAGGAAAATCACATCAGATCACTAAATGGTGGACAAGCACAGCTGATAATGAAAGTTTAATCACTAAATATCCCTTTCGCCTGCTGTATTTCAGAATAATTTTTTCTTCCTTATTTATTGCCTCCTTCACAGTAATAAGTAATCAATTTTTCACTGGTCTGGTAATGTGATTTCCAATAAATGCATTTGTTTCTAGTAATGCATTGTTTTCAGTGAAATTGACTGGGATGTCCCCTTGAAGTTTGGTGCAAAATTTAATTCAACACTTATAAATTCCAATCCTTCCCTCTTAGCCAATAAAATTTATAAAATGTAAACAACTGGTATGAACTTCACTTTCATATTTCAATCCAGTCTAATGCATAGGTTAAGAACAAAAATGATGTTTGAAACATTGGCAAGATGGGAAGGGGTCTGGATACACTGGATACATACAATCCAATCGCTATGTTTAGTTTAAATGGTAACAATAATCCTTAGAAAACTAGTCATTAGGCAATAAACATGTAAATTAAGCATCTGATTTTTACCAAGGCCTTTTAGTATCTGTTTCTTCTTGCCATATGTGCCAATCTCAAGGCACTCTCCTTTAGCAATTTCCCTATATAGAATATCACCAA